TATAAAATATATCTACAAATTGAGGTGTTGCTGTCTTTTATTTAGCAGGTACAATGTTTACGTTAACATTCATTTACTCGTTAGAAAAATAAATTTGTCATTTGCCAAAAAGGTCGCGAAATTGGTAATTTTCAAGTTGTTGTGCGAACTTCATCTAGTGTTTTTCTTTTATCATTTAAAGCGCGGTGGTCGTCGCGCAGCGCGTGTTCGAATTTCATGTAAATAAACAATGTATTTTACACGCGTTGAATACGTCGCTATGAGTCCCATATCGAACAGGACGCGGCGCGACGATTGCCACCTTTCAAGATGAGCATATCATGGTCAAGTGGTATTCATCTTTCGGATTTCAAAGATGCACAAAAGAAGCACATTTGTTTTCTACCTGTGTTTTGATCTTGAGTGCCATCCTGGTTCGATCTTCGATTTGATTGTGGGTTCACTTTCCTCATTCAGAAGATAACTCCTTTGTATAGGTAGATAGACTAACTAGGCAATTTTGAAGACCGATCTCGTTTTAAGAAAGTATGACAATTAATTGTTTTCTGTTGAAATATTTGGTAGAAAGGTATAATAAAAAAGTAATAATTATTATGTAATTTTGTTTATTTTCACAGATGTTATATTTGATAAGAGTAAGAATAAAGTTAATAGAAAATTAGATGTTCAATAAGTTCGGGGAAAAAATAAAAATGAAAAAGAACCAGAGTTCTATTGATATATATGTAACAGGATTGGAGGGTCTATGATTTTACGGGATTCATTTAACCTTGATTTCTAAGGCATGGCAATTTCTCGGTATCCAATTTATTTCTCAGTGACATAGGATGAAAAATTATATACGTCACGAATTTAAAGGAAACACCTAATTTTCCTTGTATATGTTGTCACGACTGTCAAGCATTTTACGTAAATCATGTTTATGTTGCATGTCCCGATGGCAGTGTTTTGTGTTTATTTTATGACGATATTTATTTATTAACACACAAAATGCCCCGGAGGGAATGAAAAGGATTACAAATCAGATATTAGTAAAAGAAAAATAACTACATAAAAAAGTAAAGAATTAAAAAGCATAAAGAAAAAACAAATGATAACAATTTACGTTATATTATTACGAGGAAAAGCCTAAATCGGAAATGTAGATAGACAATGTTGTTTTGGGCGATAGATAAGTGTTAAATATAGAGTGGTAAGATGTTTCTTCTTGTCAGTACTGGAGAAAAGAACTTGGATAGAACCCGATCTGAACGTTCATATGTGATCAAATGATGTGGATGTCCGATCTGGTTTAATTATGTCAATGTTCACGTGACCACTAATTACGCATTCGTGTATTGTGATTCGCGGACTGTGCATCATAAAGATAACCCTATTGGTTAATTCAGAACACCGGCCTACTGCAGTTAACGAGTGGGGAAACTCGCCAGTGAATGACGTTCTGGATTTGGGTTTTGAACTGGATGCTCCTTACAATTTATGTAGCTGACCACTGATGTGTTCTGTGGTGCAAAGGAATCCACCCAGACAGCTCTCCTACAAGTTACGAATATTAGACAGATACTAGGGCCGTGTCACATCGCCAGTATTATTTGCGTCCGTTTGTCTGTTACGTGTGTCTGTCTCGTAGTTTTATGCATGCATGCAAGCTTCTATGTTAGACAATTATTTACATTTCCGATTTAGGCCTTTCCTTGTAATAATGTAACGTAATTTACCACCCTTTGTAATGGGCAGGTATTTCCTGCCCACTCCTTACCTGTGTGGGGTAAAGTGCGTGTAGTGTGTACTTGTTCCTTATGTCGCATATCCATTACAATACAATGACACTTTATTATCATCGTAAATAAATTACTATCTTTTTGGGCTCTGAGTATTAAGGTTAAATTAATAAACATGAACACACATTAATTATTATAAAAGTATCAAAAACAAAGAAAGTTACTAAATGCTTCTTTTCAAGTTTGCATTATCAATGTATTGGATTAGTGTTTTCAGTTAATGTTTATCTGATACCTTGATAATTGTTTTGAATTTTTCTGTTTTGTCTATCTCATGTAAATTAGTAAATATTTTGTTAAATTCATTGTGAAGAGTTTTTCTTTCAGAAGAGTAAGCAACTGCCTTGGGTTTCGAAAGATCAAAGAAGCCAGTTCACAGGGGTGTTTATTTGGTACAATTTGAAATTGTATTTCAGCCCAACCAGTACTCTGTGACATATAATATGCACAGATGTCAAAATATTCTAATTCTAATCCGATTGAGGGTCTAGCCCTATGCACTGTCATTAGGCCAAACAAAAAATTGTTTTGTTGCCCTCAGCGCCTGAGCAAAATATCGGATTGCGTTTTTTTTCTTTCAATAGACCCAAATATTAAAAACTCACCATTTTAAGCAGTAAAAAGTGTTTCCTCTAAAAATTTACGATCCTGGACCGTTGTTTGATCCCCAGGGTCTATGAAAAAAAAAAAATGACCGACCGACCCAATTTTTCAATTTTCAGACTTGAGGGCAACATAAGTTTTTTTTTTTTGGCCTTAAATGATGCATATATAGAATAAGGATTCTCATGTGAAATGCATTGGTTTTCTTGATATTGCACCATCTAGTGCACATTCTTTGTACACCTATTTCGACCTATATGTTGAAAAGTTGTCTAACAGTCACTTGAGTGCTGTATGGTATCTGAATAATTTGATAAGTACTACACAGTAGTTATATTTTATGTTTAATGAGCTTTATAAATATGAAATTGTGGTCCGGATGAAATCTGAAAATACAAGTGGTTACGTAGATCTATTAGTAGATATTATCTATGGAGTGTAAATATAGAAACACTGTAGCTGTCACTAAGCTCCATGTTCGACATTGGTCTTATGCGACATATTCAGTAAAATTCGAACAATCACTGCATGATGACTTTTTTTATGCCAAAATTTTGGCACAACATTTTACACATTTCTATGTATTTTGTGATAATTTCTTTGTCAATTTTAGATGAAATGGAAAAAAAATCCCACATTTTTGAAAATTATACAAATTTGTTATACAGGTTCATTTTGTGTATTTGGCAAAAATATAAACTATATAAAGTGCAAAATTTGCTGATTTTAAAACATCAAATTATTCTCAACAAATTTCATAAAAAATTAGTACATTGTGTATTTTAAAACAAATCAGCTAAAACATGTTCTGATGAATACGATGTCTATTCTAATATCATGGCAGTGCTAACATGTAATTCTTCAATATTAAAACTTACAAGATTTATGTATCTACATCCAGACAAAATCAAGTTCATCAGCGTTACCGTGGCAACACAGAATCAAAGTACATAGAAAACCTGTGGTTGAATGCATCCCAAGAGGGTCTGGAGCCACTACATTCAACACTCACTGGCTTCAAGTACGTCTATGACTGCAATCCAGCAATCTATTCTGCTGAATTGCATAGTATAGATAATGTTATTTAAAAAAAAACACAGAAAAAATCTACATGTAATACAATCAACATGCCATTCTGGTTGTAAACAGATAATTTTCTGCTCAATATGAGATTTCGCGTAATGCAGATCGTCGAAAACCAATTGATTTTTTTCCTTGTAGTTCGATGTCAAAATGCCCACCTTTTGGGATTGGATATGGTTTTGAGATACCCTTACTTCATCAAAATTGACCAACATTAAATGTGTATAGCACATTATTAAGCGTAAAAATACAAAAAAACTACATTTTACGAATCCCATGTAATGTTTTGACGCCACTACAAAACACTACACTGGATCTTGGAACGATTGGAATATGGTCTATTATGGATAAAGTGGGTAATATCAAAAATATAAATTCCCTGAAAATTGTTCATGTTCAAAAATGAAAATTGCTGAAATTTCTATGCACAGATTAAAATGG